TTGTACCAATGTAAAAGATTTGGGCATCACATTTGATCATAAATTTACATTTTCTGACCATATTTTTAACATAAATAATTCATCTTTAAAAATGTTGTATTTTTTAATCAGAAATTGTAAATCATTTAAAAATATGGACAGTCTTAAAACATTATATTTTACTTTGGTTATTAGGTATACATTATGATGCATGTGATTCCTGAAGGTCAGTTAGAATTTATATGCAGATGTGCAGTCTTGCTGTTTTATATTTCAAAAGTTCAAGATTATTAATTTGCTATTTAAAAACCTATCCACCGTTAAGTGTAATATCTCAGTAGATTTTTTTATAAGTATTTTGTGTATGTAGTTGTATTTTTAAAAAATATTAAGGTGTCAAAAGATACAATAACTTATTTCAAATATAAAAAGGGATGTTTTAAAAATCATACGAAATCCTAACTTCCGTGAAGCTCTAATATTCAAAATGTATGATTTCTTGAATTAGTGTAGAATCACTTATGTTATCTTATTACTAGACCTTGTGGCTTCCCAAAAATCCCATTCTAGACAACCAAAAATAAAAAATAATCATTTTCACTTGGGGGACATCTCAATATATTCGCCCTTTAATAAAGTCTCAAATTATTGGAATCTAAATAATGATTCTTTAAAATGTATTACTAATGTTTATGTTAACAATTGGGACAGTTGAAATTTTCAAATGAAAATTTCAACTTTGAAAGTTTCAAACTTGAAATATTTCATTTAGTTGGAAAAGTGAAATTTTTAAAAATTTCAAATGAAATTTTCAATCCGAAAATTTCAACATTGCCTGTGAAAGTTTCAGAAATTTCATTGAAAGTTTCGCAATTTACTGAAAATTTCGCATAAATTTCACATGCGGCCTCCCCTGGGACCTTTAATAATAATTTACAGATTCCGAATTGACCAATAAGAACGAGTTATCAAGAAATTTAGGAAATTTTAATAAATTTCATAAATGTCATAAAAATTTCAAGTGAAATTTCAAGTACAAGCAAAAATTGAAATTTTCCCAACCCTATAGGGTATAATAGTAATGAGTATTTTCCCAACCCTATAGGGTATAATAGTAATGAATAAATCTGCAATTTTTCATCTAATGGTCTATGGTCTAATGGTATATGTTTTCATGATTTTGTTTGTTTTATTATTTTTAGTTTAGGTATAATTAGGTAATGATGTATTTGCTATTTGTCCTGTAATTGGAGTTTCTTTGCTGGGCAATAAACATTATTATTATTATTATTATTATTCAGGGTTACTATGATTTGTCCATATTTGTTGTAACATAATAATTTAGATTTTTATAATTTTTTTAGTATATTTGATAAACTCAAAAGGTTAAATAAATAAATTTGTTCCATACTTTTGCTGGTCTCTGTATATTAGAGTATTGCTAAAGCAAACTAATGTTTATGTTAACAATTGGGACAGTTGAAATTTTCAAATGAAAATTTCAACTTTGAAAGTTTCAAACTTGAAATATTTCATTTAGTTGGAAAAGTGAAATTTTTAAAAATTTCAAATGAAATTTTCAATCCGAAAATTTCAACATTGCCTGTGAAAGTTTCAGAAATTTCATTGAAAGTTTCGCAATATACTGAAAATTTCGCATAAATTTCACATGCGGCCTCCCCTGGGACCTTTAATAATAATTTACAGATTCCGAATTGACCAATAAGAACGAGTTATCAAGAAATTTAGGAAATTTTAATAAATTTCATAAATGTCATAAAAATTTCAAGTGAAATTTCAAGTACAAGCAAAAATTGAAATTTTCCCAACCCTATAGGGTATAATAGTAATGAGTATTTTCCCAACCCTATAGGGTATAATAGTAATGAATAAATCTGCAATTTTTCATCTAATGGTCTAATGGTCTAATGGTATATGTTTTCATGATTTTGTTTGTTTTATTATTTTTAGTTTAGGTATAATTAGGTAATGATGTATTTGCTATTTGTCCTGTAATTGGAGTTTCTTTGCTGGGCAATAAACATTATTATTATTATTATTATTATTCAGGGTTACTATGATTTGTCCATATTTGTTGTAACATAATAATTTAGATTTTTATAATTTTTTTAGTATATTTGATAAACTCCCTAAGCTCCCACTTTCCTGAAAGCTAAACCTGTGTTATTTAAAAAGTATTTAACTCCAAAAACTTTTCTATTTTTATTTTCCCACGCTCTCTGAGCAATTTAAAGTTTTAAACGCGTTGATCAGACCACACTAACGTTAAAGTTTCGGTCGGCAACTTTTCACGTCGATTTTCGTTCCGGTTTTTCTTTTAACCCCTCAAAAATTACCGCCATTTCCTTCGACAACTTCGCGCTGCGCTGTCTGTGTACGTGAGATAAAAATATCCACGTCGAATAAGTAAGCTTTTTAGAGTTCGTCCTCATCAAACTTTACTATTTACACTTGCTCGAATTTCGAGATAAAAGTGCATTTTTTGATGGTTTTGCTCTCTCATGTATAAAATTAGCCGCGATCATATACATAAACCAATGTATTTTTACTTCACCGGCTCCATAACTCTATTTTAGCTTTTTGTTTAAAAGATAAAGGGAGCTATTTGAATAAATAAAACTACACTTTGTAGATAATTCTAAAATGGTCATTTATTGATTATTTGCACTCGTTCTTGGCGAAAAGTCAAATTTAATTTAATTTTATTGATTAGTACCTACGTATTATATTATTAAATATTCACATCTATACAATAGTACAGCTGTTCATATAATTTGTGTAAGTAAATGAGTATTTTAGAGACTTTTTTAATATAATATTTTATGGTGAAATTGCACAAATTGTGGCACAAACTAACACAACATTTCTCCAATTTATTGATGGGTTGAGAGGGTGGTAAAAAGGAAAATGAAACTAAATTATTAATTTAGATACCTATGTATTCAGCGACTTATACAAAAAGTGGAAAATAGAATATCTAAACTTAATATAAACTGACACTGACAACATAAAATAAACATAACAAAACATAAACTACAAACTGAAAAATAAAATTCGTATAGCTAATTCAAATAATACTAAGATATAATTCAACGTGCGTCTTCACTTATAATAGTACAAATGAGGAGTGATTTTTCAAAAGGTCGTATTTCCATTTGCAACAATTTTTCAAAAAAATGACTATAACCTGTATAGGTTAGTATAGGGCAATATACACTCACGTGCAAAATAATCGATCCACACAAATTTTCGATGAATTTCAATCGCAAATAACTTTTTTATTTGATGTTGGATTTAAACGAATATTAAAGAATATTGTACTAAAAAATAGACGTACGTTTATAATATACAGGTTTAAACAAAAATATGTTTTTTACCATAAGTTTAAGACACTCTGTAGAGTGGCAAAACCGTATATTGTTTTAAATTAAGTTTTATTTATCAAGTCACATCTATTCTTAACAGTTTTGTTTTTGGTTCACCTTGATATATTTATTTTTGTTGAAAATACGGATTTTTTTAAAAAACATTGCAATTTCCAATATTTTTCTGTATGAAGAACTAAGGTTGCTATGGGTTATCCACAGGCTATGGAGAATGACAGTGATAGTTTTGTTGAATCATCCCATACTTGGACATGTCATACACAACTTTCAAAAGCTATCAAATTGTTTTTTGCAAATTAATGTTTAAATTTTTTTAACTTTATAAAATGAATATGTCTCCGACTGATGTTGCCAGAGCTATTAATTTAATCCACGATGGACGGTCACAGTATTACGTGGCAAGTGTTTTAAACGTCATAAGAAGTAAAGTACAAAGGGCAACATCAGTCGGAGACATTTTTAAAAGTAAGAAGACACCTCAAAATTAACACATTAATTTACAAAAAACAATTTGATAGCTTTTAAAAGCTGTATATGACATGTCCAAGTATGATTCAACAAAACTGTCACTGTCATCCTCCATATATCCTATAGGCTATGGATGGACCATAGCAACCTTAGTTCTTCATACAGAAAAATATTGGAAATTGCAATGTTTTTTTAAAAAAATCCATATTTTCCACAAAAATAAATATATCAAGGTGAACCAAAAACAAAACTGTGAAAAATAGATGTGACTTGATAATTAAAACTTAATTTAGAACAATATACGGTTTTGCCACTCTACAGAGTGTCTTAAACTTATGATAAAAAACATCTTTTTGTTTAAACCTGTATATTATAAACGTACGTCTATTTTTTAGTATTTTTTTAAAATGTGAGCGATTATCCATTAAATTATTTACAATATTCTTAAATATCCGTTTAAATCCGACATCAAATAAAAAAGTTATTTTCGATTAAAATTCATCGAAAATTTGTGTGTGTATTATCGTATAAAAAATTCTGAATCTGTAATTATTATATGCTAACATTAATATTTCACTAACAAAAAGTTAATAATACGAAAATGATGACTTTATATGCCTGTAACTTTTAGAATATTGACGATACAAAAAATTCGCCAAAAACTTTTTTTTGTAAGAATAGAATTAAGTTAATATAAACTGAAAACCTGAAATAAACATAAATTACAAACTAAAGTAAATAGTAAGCTGATCAATAAAAGTAGGAATATAGAAACACTTTTTATCCTCATTTGATCACCAGGTCATAATTATTGATTTATCCCATTCTACATTACTAAAGATAAAGTATATTTGTCGACTGGCTAATATAAAATCTTATGCATAAAACGAGAGGTATATATATTTCTTTATTTTTTTGTTAAAAGTTGAAGGAAACTATTTGAATATCAATTGAACTGAATTTCTCCAGGGCTTTAGAAGACGCGCCAGGATAGCTTTAAGTTGACGCCCTAGGTCAGATTCTTTTGATAACATGTTTTATAAATTCAATATCTTTTTTGTTAATAATTACTTACTATATAGTAAGAAAAATATACTCAAAATATTGCTTTAAAATTAAGGGATTTCAAATAAATATACATCTCTTTTATTCAAATAAAACTTTATATAGACAGTACATTTTATCAAAGTCATCTATGTGGTAATCCCCATACATAAAAGAAATATTTAAGGTTTTGTTTTCGTTAATATCCAACAAGTCGGTCTTCAAAGTTATAGTTTGAAACGGTTTCTTATAAAAACTCTTCATGTAAAAAGTAAGGCTGATTCTACCAAGTCTACTGCAAGGACTTTGCGATAAAGTTTCAACAACAAACTGATTAAGATTTTTGGTGTATTTAACAGTAACACAAAAAATATTGTTTTGATTTGCGTGTAAATATTTTGTTGCATGATTACCGGTTAGATCCAAAACAAACGGTTTATTTGTTATGAGTAAATGTTTGTGATTATTTTTGTAGTGTTGAATAAGTTGTGTGCCTACTCCTAAATAATCACAGTTCAAACATTTTCTGTCAAAACCGGCACAAATTTCCTCGTGTTCCCTCATTCTACAAAACGGTATTAATTCATTGCAACCCTCATATCTGTTAACACAAGGGAATCGTATGTTTGGGCTGCTGGCGTATGACATTAAAGTCATTGGAATCTGGTTCTCGAAATCCAAAGGGTTTCCGGAAAATTCCATGAACGAAAAAGTTGACCTTTTTTCACAGAGACATCTACCGCAAGTGTTGCCACCCTGTCCATCAAACCCTATGGGTCCCACTGTCAAATATTTTTGACATTTGACACAACATAAATCTTTCAATATGGAGTCCGAAACTTGATAGTAATTTCGCGCCATCTATAATTAGAATTATCGTTGATTTTTACTCAAGATATATTAATTCTTACCTTATGAATATGAAGATCTTTAAATGAAACACACAAACAAACAATAACAGTCACGAGAATGCGAAGAGATAGTTTACAAACGGCATTGTAAACTTGTTGTTTGTTATCATTGAACTTTTTTGTTTATATATATATTTATAAATAGATTAACTTAAAATTAATCTCTTGCCAATGCCCGATAATGTTTTTTACGGAAATGAAAAGCGTTTTAATTATTGTCAATACTAAGTAGTTTAAGTAGTTTAGATAAGAATCGTTATACGAGGTCAAAATAGATACTAGTAGGTATACATGACCGGTTTCACAGAGAAAGCAAAGTATTTAATTTGTTACTTATTAATCAAGAAAGTTTTTTTTACATGTAACCCTAGTAAAATTTAAAAAAATGATTATATATTATACGTAACATTTTTCTATATAATATACAGGGTTTTACCTTCGTGTTCAATAAGAAGGTTCTGACTCAGTACACCAGGGTACTAATTAAATACATAATTTATTGGAAAATATAAGATTTATTGCAACTTTGAGCATATTATACATTAAATATCTTAAAATCAAATAATACCACACATCAGTGGCGTCTGGTGGATTTTGGGTATACCGATATCTCAATTATTAGATATGAGACCTACACCAAATTAATATGAGTTTATAATGACATTAAATAAACAAGTTCTGCGCAAGCAGAATTTAAATTGAAGTTTGCGAAAAAAAGATAACCGAAACATCGAACATGGAACTGACTACACGGTACTGATGAATGGGATACAAATTTGTGAATATAATTCGGAATTAAGTATTTTACTGATATTTTTTATTAGTGGATGCTACTTATCAACAAATCACATACAGCCTTATATAAATTACAATGAAATATATATACGTAAGAAAATAACTACTCACCACAGTACTGAAATTTTGACTGGAACTATACGTGCATTCACCACAACTTTGCCGCTTGCATTGTTTTCAAGATGACTGTCGTGCAAAGGGCGGGCTCTGTAGGGAATTTTGTACCAAAACTTGAGTTAAAACGAGGACTTGACGTTTAAACTTCAATATTTCGCAGGAATTTTGAATTTTAACATTGGACACAGAACTGACGCGTAAAAGTGAGTACAAAGATTATCAATTTTTTTAAAAATTGCTATTATTCGAATCTATGATAAAATATGAAAAATACATTATTTAATGTTTTATAGTTTGTAGTGAAATTGAAAAATTTAAGATAAATTGAATATATTTTAAAATAAAATCACTCAAATATTTGATTCAGGAGTTGTGACACGCCAAGGTACTGATTAGGGTGATTCAAAAAAAGCCTTTTTTTAAAAATGAACCCGCACTGGCCTAAATTATAAAGATTACATTAAAACTAAAAGATTAATACCAAAAAATCCAAATTCGATGAATATTTAGAGGTCGCTCAAATCGATTTTCGTATTTTTGCACATTCGAGCCGCGAAATTATTACTGCGCAAAATAGTAAATAACTCCGTTAGTTTATATTCGATATTATTAAAAATTTAAGGGTTACCTAGTTTTTTAATACCCTCTGAGACAGTAAATTAAACTTTACGGAAAAAAATTTTTTTCATGAAAAAAAAAATAATTTGTTAATAAAAACGTATCATCTTATAAAATAAGCAACAATTGGAGTCGCACTATGATGGTACCGTAAAAAAACTAAGAAAATAACACTTAAATTATTTAGCATACATAAAACCTGCCGAAAGAAATATTTTATTTGATTTATATAAAACATAACCTAATAATAATTAAGTTATTCAAATTTTTCCCATTTTCATACGATTTTATAAATAATTTATATCCGTTTTATTAATTATGACGTATTTTTATAAAATTTCTTTATTTTTGATACCATATTTAATTAATTACATTAAGTAGTTATTAATTTATGTCCTTTTTATAATTAAAATTAAAAAAATCCACTGCTCTACATCTTTTTCTTTGCAATGATTGTTTCTAATGTTAATTTTTTCAACCATTTTTTCTTTTGTTTCAGTAGGTACTCTTTTATCAAAAAATGCCAAACAAATTAGCTCTTCTATTTGCAAATCTATATTTTTGTAAACATGAAGTTCATGAAGTGTTTTCAAATCATTTATGGGCGCGCAAGTTGCATTTGGAGCTTGGAACCAGGCAAATATGTAAACGAAATAATAAAAATACAAATTCTACGCAATGACTTATTTTCATTGTTAGTGAGTTTAAATTGATCCCGAAATAAGAAAATCTTTAGAGAGTATATAGCCATGTTCATCCATCTGGGACTTAGACGCTTTTGAATTAAGTAAATAATAATATATATATATATATAATTATGTATAATATACATTGTATATATATATATATTTATATTTATATAATTTATCAACTACCTGGTAGTAGGTCCTACTATCAAAATTTAAGAATAATAATTATTATTGTGGTATGTCAATTTAGCAACATCTAGACAGAATCAAATAATGTTGGTATCAAAATTTGAGAATTGTTGTATGTCAATAATTTTAATAAAATTTAAATTTCTGCTTAAGCCATATCAATGCAGTGAATAATTTTGTAGTTAACGTTATTTTATTTTTGTTGTAAAAAGGACCTAATTTAATAACTACCTAGTGTAATTAATTAAATATGGTATCAAAAATAAAGAAATATTATAAAAATACGTCATAATTAATAAAACGGATATAAATTATTTATAAAATCGTTTAAAAATGGGAAAAATCTAAATTACTTAATTATTTTTAGGTTATATTTTATATAAATCAAATAAAATATTTCTTTCGGCAGGTTTTCTGTATACTAAATAATTTAAGTGTTATTTTCTTAGTTTTTTTACGGTACCATCATAGTGCGATTCCAATTGTTGCTTATTTTATAAGATGATACGTTTTTATTAACAAATTATTTTTTTTCATGAAAAAAAAAAATTTTCTGTAAAGTTCAATACATTGTCTCAGAGGGTATTAAAAAACTAGGTAACCCTTAAATTTTTAATAATATCGATTAAAAACTAACGGAGTTATTTACTATTTTGTGCAGTAATAATTTCGCGGCTCGAATGTGCAAAAATACGAAAATTGATTTGAGCGACCTCTAAATATTCATCGAATTTGGATTTTTTGGTATCAATATTTTAGTTTTAATGTAATCTTTATAATTTAGGCCAGTGCGGGTTCATTTTTAAAAAAAGGCTTTTTTTGAATCACCCTAGTACTGATGTTTTGAATATTTATTATGTTTTTCTACAAACGTGCTTATGAAAAAATACATTAAAATTGGGTGGACAAGTTAAAAAAACCTGGATCTTCTGTAATATACTAAAATATTTACAAAAAATATTAAAATACCTACTCTATTGACTGATGACATAAAGTTGTCCTATTTTGTTGCTTGAAACTGACCTAAAAATGTTAATTTTAAAAACACTGTGACCCTTTTAGTGTCACAGTAATATGCAACGTGTGCTGTTTGCATATTGTAGTCTTATATATGCATGTTTAATGCGAAAAACAACCCCAAAGGTAAGTAGCAAGAAACGTTTGAATAATGTACTTTGATGTAGCCAGAAGACATGGCTCCATTCCAGATTTATTTGATACAGTTTATGTACATGCTTAAGCATGATTTGCATAAAATTGAACTAAGAATGTAAATAATGAAATATTTTGTGTTTATAGTCAAAGAATATACTGGATCTGTTCTTCGTTCTTATTTAGTAACTGGTTGTATTTTTGAATAACACTGATTTCCCGTTTAGCAGTATTATTAACCACTCTTATCAAAATAAACTACAGTTTTTATTATCTTCGTTAAAGACCTACTTTACCAGAAGCTAGGTACCTTCAGCAGAAGTTCTTATATTGGGAAACAGTCGCTGGGATATAATATTAAAATAACATCGTTTAGTTTTCATATTTTATCAAATTTAAACTGGAATTTAAAACACTTTATGCTTAAAACTAATACCAATCAATCATGATGAAAGTTACATTTTGATTCTAAAATTTTCCCGAGGTAGCTCGCGGTGGCAAGGTTGTAATAAATATTACCTAGAAGCAATATAAACTTTATGCACTCTTTGTTATTCACTTTTACCAACAGACTAAGTGTAACTTTATCGCTTTATGTTCAAAGTTATTTAAGCACACTTTTTTCTCCACTATATTGTTACAATTCTGCGGTTCTAAGGATAAGGATATTTAGCTAATTAGAAAGGGCCCTTTACCGGTAGATCATACTTATAAGTTTGTAGTATAGTTTTAATAAGACCCTAAAAATATACCTAGAACATATAATGGCTTTAAAATATTGACTTTGAACTGATCCTATGGATGCATTGCACCCATTAGCGAATGTTTTTCGAGGATAAAAAGCTGGATGTCGCACTTATTGGATTCGCTTGTACGTCATAAAGTTGTCGATGTAACACAACCGCTGGAAGGTTTTATAATTAATTCAATCTCATAGTACATATCCCGTCATCTCAGTAAGCCGTAATCCGAAATTGATGTTCGCTGTTTTCCTTTCGATATTCAAATCCCGCCGCCTTTCTAATGGTCGCTTTGTGTTCCTTCTTGTTTTGATACTCTCGGGTGCATTATACTCGATGCTACCCCCACTACGCTGCACTCTCTGAACTTTCAGCACATACAACATAAACAATTAAGAGGTTTATCTCTTAATTATACGTCGTCGTGCGATTACCGAGCCGAGCAAACAGATTTCGCCGTGTTTATTGTTCTTCACTTCATGCCTCCCTCTTGTCGTGCTTGCATTTTGACGAGGAATGCAAACAACCGCGAGATTTATATCTTTAACATCGATCTACTCGTATCTTCGTTTGTATAGCGTCAGAAGGTGATGTGCCAATCAAAACAAAGGGACAGAACCTTGTAAACCCAAGACGTTTCAAAGAAACGT